CCCCTGGCCAACTTGGGGCCTAAGCGATTGTGAGATGAGCCCCCCCCCCCCCCCCCCCAACAAGCCGTGTAGGACAGAGAGTGAATACACATACTTTACAGAGACGCTGTTTGAGAAACCAATGTGAGTTTGGAAAATTGCACAGTATAAATCTATTTCAGTAGACCTCAACAATGGAATTATGATCAGTAGAAATGGCCATGACACGGGACCTTTAATATAACTGAGTATAAACACACGGATGGGATGTTCAACACAACATGTATTAACACAAAGACACATAGAATAACAAACTGTGTGGACATATGGACACCATCTACAAGTCGGTACCTCAGTGTGTGTGTGTGTGTGTGTGTGTGTGTGTGTGTGTGTGTGTGTGTGTGTGTGTGTGTGTGTGTAATATAGTGTGTAAAGTGACCCCGATTATGTGTGTGTGCTTGTATGTGGGGGGGGGGGTCTCTGTGTGTGGTCAGTATGTGTGATTGCATGTGTGTGTGTGTTTGAATGGCTTGCTTTCAGTGTGTGTGTGTGTGTGTGTGTGTGTGTGTGTATTTGAATGGCTTGCCCTCAGTGTATGTGTGTGTGTGAGTGACCCCAATGGTGCCTAAAATCTGAACAGTGTCAATATATGGACCCCACTTATGCTTAGAAACCAGACGGTGTGTGTGTGGACCCCACTCATGCACACACACTCTGACAGCAGTCAAAGAAACCACAGGAGGAAAATCACTTTTCACTTTAAAACCATGGGCGTAATTTCCACTGGGGACAGTGGGGACATGTCCCCCTTACGCAAAGAAAATATATTTCCCCATATATTATCTGTCAATATATTGCATTATTTTGTTTTCTGATTTACTGGTTAATTGAAAAGATTTAATAAAGGAAATCTTGCTGTTGGCTACACCAACTGATACTGATTAATAATCAACATGAAAAACACATGTATTCATATCTACAAAATATATTGAAGATATATAGAATAATATATTATGTTAATATATTACAATATATTGATATATAGAATAATATATTGTGTGTTAATATATTACAATATATAGATATATAGAATAATATATTGTGTGTTAATATATTACAATATATTGATATATAGAATAATATATTGTGTTAATATATTGCAATATATTGATATATAGAATAATATATTGTGTGTTAATATATTACAATATATTGATATATAGAATAATATATTGTGTGTTAATATATTACAATATATTGATATATAGAATAATATATTATGTTAATATATTACAATATATTGATATATAGAATAATATATTGTGTGTTAATATATTACAATATATAGATATATAGAATAATATATGATGTTAATATATTACAATATATTGATATATAGAATAATATATTGTGTGTTAATATATTACAATATATTGATATATAGAATAATATATTGTGTTAATATATTGCAATATATTGATATATAGAATAATATATTGTGTGTTAATATATTACAATATATAGATATATAGAATAATATATTATGTTAATATATTACAATATATTGATATATAGAATAATATATTGTGTGTTAATATATTACAATATATTGATATATAGAATAATATATTGTGTTAATATATTGCAATATATAGATATATAGAATAATATATTGTGTGTTAATATATTACAATATATAGATATATAGAATAATATATTATGTTAATATATTACAATATATTGATATATAGAATAATATATTGTGTGTTAATATATTACAATATATTGATATATAGAATAATATATTGTGTTAATATATTGCAATATATTGATATATAGAATAATATATTGTGTCTTAATATATTACAATATATTGATATATAGAATAATATATTGTGTTAATATATTACAATATATTGATATATAGAATAATATATTGTGTGTTAATATATTACAATATATTGATATATAGAATAATATATTGTGTTAATATATTACAATATATTGATATATAGAATAATATATTGTGTGTTAATATATTGCAATATATTGATATATAGAATAATATATTGTGTGTTAATATATTACAATATATTGATATATAGAATAATATATTGTGTGTTAATATATTACAATATATTGATGTATAGAATAATATATTATGTTAATATATTACAATATATTGATATATAGAATAATATATTGTGTGTTAATATATTACAATATATAGATATATAGAATAATATATTGTGTTAATATATTGCAATATATTGATATATAGAATAATATATTGTGTGTTAATATATTACAATATATTGATATATAGAATAATATATTGTGTTAATATATTGCAATATATGGGATAATACATCAGTAATTGCCGCTTTCCATATATTGAGTAATATATGTAAATATATATAATATATTGGTATGTGAACATACATTTACTATATATTAACATTTATATGGGGAAATGTATGTATTATATATCCACAATTATATGGGGACATGTATGTAGTAT